AACATATAGACTTATTTTTTTAAGGAAAATAAGTGTAGGTTACGAGGTGGCTCAGTGATGGCGCATGTGCCTGGTATTCTCAAGGCCCTGGATTCAATTCATTCAATCCCAGCACCATACATATAAAAACAAATGTGGGTGGTATTCTCATTGCCGGGTGTGGTGGCGCACACCTTTAATCCCAGCACTCAGGAGGCAGAGGGAGGCGGATCTCTGTGAGTTCAAGGCCAGCCTGGTCTACACAGTGAGTTCCAGGCCAGGAATAAGGAGACCCTGCCTAAAAAAGACCCCCCCCAAAAAACCCCAGAAAACAAACAATAAACAATGGAGACTTGCCCCCTTACCACAGGCCACTGATTCTTGGCTTTCTTCAGCTTTCTACCTAGCCTCTAGGGGAACCCAGCTTGAGAGTCCTCTCTCATTTTTATCACTGAAACCATTCAAATATTCTTCAAATTCTGTGAATTTCTAGGCTAGATATATGCCTATTAGTCTAACAGGACCAAAAGTTAGAGGCCAACCTGGACTATATAGCAAGACCATGTCTCAAAAGAAAAGAAAAAAAAAATCCAATTCAACATATACATCACACATTGTTTCCTGTCCTATTTCCCATTTGCCTTTCATCCTTATTAACTGAGTCTTCTAATTGTCTCTTCCTACATAAAGTCTCCTTACCTTTCTACTTCAAAAAAACAGTAAGCCCCTACTTCTACATTGTTCCTATATTTGTTTTCCTAAAACATCTTTTTTTTTTTTTTGATCTTTGGAGACAGGGTCTCCCTGTAGCCCAGCTGGTAGACCAGGCTGGCCTTGAACTCACAGAGATCCACCTGTCTCTGCCTCCTGAGGGCTGGGATTAAAGGCATGCGCCACCATGCCCAGCTCCTATAATATCTGTTTAACATTAACCCCTATTTAATGTACTGCAAATTGCTTCGGCATTTATGATATACCTGACCAATTAAAACTTCTTTCCTTCTAGTGGAGGTACAAAGCCTTGCTTGTAACTCTCAGTAGTTCTGTCTCTTTATGATCCCTTCCTTCACTTTATACCTAACCCTAGGCTAAATTATTTCCAACTCTCTTATACTTACAATGTAACCCCAAACCCCCGTGGTGCTTACAACCAAACCCAGGGCCTTGCACATCCTAAGACAAACAATTTACCATCCCCAGCTACCCTTTCTTTTTTGGCTACTCAAATCCTTCACATTTGAATCTCTCTCCATAAAACTTAAAGTCTACAATGATCTTTTCAATTCTGAATTTATTATATCTCATGACAACTAACTCCTCCTTGTGCCTAGATTTTGTCCTTTTAAATATCTTAGTTTTGTTTTGGGGGGCAAAATATTACAGTTCAACTATTTTCATAACTCTAGTAAAAAGTTATTAACATTGAGATAGTTGAGAGTATTTAATTCATCTGCATTATTTATCTA